ATTTACTAATTACCTCTCGGTGGTGATCTACTGGTCCTGTTCTGGATTCATGACGCCTACTCAACCATGTGAGAATCACAAAACTAAAAATGCATGCATGTGATGCATTGCATGTATAATTCATCAATAAAAGCCTCACTTTCACCCGATCAGGGCGTGAGTTCGCTTGGATTGTTGGATATTTACACCAATTTGTGCACCGACTATGAAAAGCACCATCACTGAAATCTTACAGTAAATTATTGGTATGTCTCATTCATTGCTGTGCCTTGGGAACACTTCATAGCTTTGTGTGTGTGTGAAATGAATCAATACAATGATCCAGTAGTGCAGTTCCAAAGTGCTTAATGAGGTGCTGCAGAGACAGATGTAAAAACAAGCACTTACACTGTATGTGTGATACATAGCTTAAACACAGATGTGGTACCATACGGAGGAAAAAACTGATTGATAACATGATCTGATTATTATATGATTCACTTTCACTGCGTTTTTACTTCCAGTCCTTGAGTTTCAGACGGTTTTTCGGGTGCATTTTTTGCATCGCTCACCTTTTACTTGAACACACAGCATATCACAAGTCACGGATTATAGCTGCTCACATCTGCTGTCTCCAGCCCTCTGATGTGAAATCGTACTGAATGTGCTGCCGTTTCCTGTAAATGGAGAGTATTTCATGGGGGAGAGCTCTGTGTAAATCTGTGTCTCTGCTGCAGATTGTGTGCTGCACAGCATCCAAACACACTGTGTGCTTTCTTACACAGTGTGTGTCCAGTAGACACTCAACTTCTCATGAGTCTAAGCTCATAGATGGCACAGTCGTGACGTGTTGCTATGGTGAAATTATTATTAGTAGTATTGCTTGAACATAACCTTCTCAGGGTCAGGTGCAGCTGAATGTTCTTCAGTTTGGAGGATGCACAGCTGGCCAGCGCAAGAGACTTGTTTGTCAGAAGAAAGCTCGCTGTCACCCAGATTCTTGGTGGCTGGTTTAAATTTGCAGACATGGAGCCAAGATTGTTCTCTAAAGAGCATTTGGGCCTTGGATAGCCAAATATAGCTATTTTGGATTCATTTTCATGAAGCTAGGGTAAGTTTTAGAACATCCAGCGCTTCTCTTTTCAAAACGTGTACCACCTCTATTCCTTTCCTCTCCACACATCTTCGTCTCTCCCACCACAAACGAGAGGAGACGTGAGGAGAGAGAAGTCGAGACAACAGGCATTTAACTGAACCAGACATTCTTGCTTCAGAGCCATAATTTTAAAGCGATTCCAGTTAAACGTGACATGTGGCACGGCTGCATTGTCTGGTTACAGCCTGC